TTCACCTATCAGTAAAATTCTGAAAAAGGATAAAATTTATTTTAAAAATTTTGCTGTAGACATGCATTATCTCTTATCAAATTTTAAATCAAGACTATATCAACATGTTGTCTGCCTCAAAAACTAACTCCATTATCACTAAAATACGGAAAACTGGGGAAAAAAAATCAAAATTGTACTTTGGTACATTTTGTATACCGTCTTTTGGTCATAATAAAGCTTCTGTCAAAATTTCATAGAACTCCATGAAGGTTTTACAAAGTTACTGATGTCAAAAAAATATATATAACCACACACTAATGAAATGTAGAATCACTATGTCTCGCTTTCGCAACATGATTGTCCCATGCTCGACAAAACTCGAAAGGGAGATAGCCTTTTACCAATCCAAACAATAATATTAAGCTTTGAGGACAGATCCAGGCACACTAGAGTAAGTGCGCAATATTGCCAAATATTGCCTTAATTCAAATGGTTAAAGCCCTGCAACTCTGGAAAGACAAGCCAAACATTTTCAAAATCAAAAGGAAGCTTCCCTCAATCATAATGTTGTGTTAATATTACATGAGAATTGGTTAAAGAAATTTTGAGTTATCGTACGAAATAATGACAGAAAGATGGATAGACAGACAGGCTGATAAACATTTGTATACCATAATACATCCCGTCTTTGACGGGCGTCTAAAATGGAACTACAGTGGATGAGCAAGTTATCAATTGAACATATGTGAGGCCAATGCATTGTTACAATTCTTGCTTTTACTTTCAATTGTATTTCCGTCTGGCTTGAAAAGGTGCATATGTCCAAGAGATGAGCCGAACACATGTCGCAATATAGGATCTTATACATCAGTACTTCTGGAAAAGTAAACGAGAAGTTACATTTATCGAACATGTAAATGACATAACAGATACCGGATAAGCAAAGTTGCTTACAAAAAGAATTAATGAAAGAGGAAAGTCTTTTAACAACTGCACTAATTTTAACCAGGAACATATATATTGACGTTAGATATACTGTTCCCAGTTTTAACTAAACCTAAAATAAGGGCTGAAAGGTTTAAAAAAAGATCGATATTCACAACAATGCACACATAGAATTAGACATTTTATGGTCGTCTGGTCTTATAAAGGAATTTTACAAAGGAGGCATGACAGAAGATATACTCTTCCAATAATGGTACACAAGCCTAATAACAAAATTAAGACAAGGTGTTAAATCAAACTAGTGAAGGAATTGCAGGGTGTCCGTCAGTGTTGAATATGGTCCCCCACAGCTGAGAATATTATAGGGCCTAACACAGTTATAGTAGTCTCAGCCCATAGCAAATAGGATTATCATCAATACATTCTTGAAATTGTGTGATCACTTTGTGGTCACGTATGATTTATTTACGTCAAATTGTTGGCTGATTTCACCTGTGCTTTCTATGGTCACGAGATGCAAGAAATGTTGAATGACAGGTCTGATTACAAACAAGCATCGTTACATTATTAGCAGTCTTAATTTATTTACTCTTAAATACGGTAGTAAAACCCATCGTGAACTTTCTTTAAATGGTCAACCTCTTCTTTCAAGTATTGAACATTATGTTAGTTCAAAATAAAGTTTCAAGAACTGTGTGCCTAACAGGGTATAAACAGTTCGTAGAACGGTTAACGACCTTATGAGTGCTGGGTTCCATCATAAAAATGGACCCAATCCAGTTTCAATGCATTTGGTGAAAAATAATGTTTATCCTACTTTTGTATGGTCCAGAAATTTCTGAGGCAAATCCAGCATTTGCTGCCATATTCTTTCACTACGTCGATATCACTGCTGATGACTGCAAGCCCCTGATCACAATTACGTTAACTGAGGCGTTGGTTCTTATGTGTATGAATTATAAAGTACCTTTCTAAATTCTCCGTTGATGAATTTAGAATTAAACCAAGGTTTCAACTCCCTCATGCAGATACATTCTTGGTTGGATTTGGTTATTGCACCAATACAGTTTAAAATGTCCTAAAAATTGACTCTCATGATATGCTTTATTTAGTTGAAGTTCTGTTAAGATTAGCTTTTTTAAAGTGTAAGTCATAGTCTTGACAACTGTTTGATTTCAGAAGGCCAGACATGGGTACTTAGTGGTACAGGCAAGAAAGTTACACTTGGTATCATTTTTCTGATTTTTCTTTATAGATACAAACTCACTACCATAAACTGTTTACACAGAGATATGTTTCACCTCTTTGTAATTTTGATAATGCAAATGCTGAAATAGCAATCCTTTTAACATGTAAGTTATGCAAATATTCAAAGTCAATGAACCATGACTGAAGTAACAGGGCTAAACAATCTCCATAGAAATGAGATGTGCCAATGCTAATACAACTGCATACCAAATACCATCGACTTATCATAAGTCATTCCCTTTAAACAAACCTACACACAAACATTAACTTGTAAAATATGTAAAAGTTTCAAAGTCATTGAACCATGATGAGGGGTGGGGCTTTGTAATCTCCATGGAAATGAGACTTGCAAATGTCAAGATATCATTGACTTAACATTAGTGGTTCATCTTAAACTGATCTAATAACAAACTAATACATGTAAACTAAGCAAAAGTTTCAAAGTCAATAGCCCATTACTGAGGGATAAGGACAAAATATTCTCCATGGAAATGAGATGTGCTTATGCTTATACAACTGCATACCAATTATCCTTGACCTACCACTAATGCTTCCCCTTAAACTGACCTAATCAGAAACTAATACATGTAAACTAAAAAGTTTCAAAGCCAAATAATCTTCATGGAAATAAGATATGCCAATGCTTATACAACTGCATACCAAATATCATTGACCTAATACTGGTGGTTCACCATAAACTAGTCCTAATCACAAGCTAATACATTGTTGATGCCGTAGCCACTGCAAAACAATGCAGGAAACAGCATACCTACAAAACCTCCAGTGTAAATTATAGTTTATCTGACATCAATAAGGTCAGCTTTAACTGAAAGGAACATTGTATACAATGTTATGCCTCGCCTATGGGAGTGGAGGGCATTATGTTTTCTGGTCTGTATGTGCACTTGTTTGTTGTCCCATATCAGGTGCAAGTTTTTGGATAAGGTAGTTTACCACGAAAGTGTGGTCAATTCAACATTAAAGTTAGTATTGTCATTATAATGTGCACTTTTTTATTGTTGACTTTTTTTATTGTTGACTAAGTCCAACAATCAATATTAAAATACAAAATTTTTTTTTTAAATTTAACTTTTTTTTTAGATGTTATTTCTTGATCTTGAGCATTACCTTCTGTCCAAATATAACAAACCATGAAGGTTTACAAATTTATTGAGTCAAAAAAAATAAAATCTCAGAGTATGTGTTAAGTCCAAAAATCTTAGTCCATCTATCAGTAAATAAATATTGAAAAATGAAAAAAAATATTTTCAAAATTTTGCTCTGGTAACTTTGGTCATTAAAAGCTTCAGTCCAAATTTTATAATATTCCATGAAGGGTTGACAAAGTTATTGATGTCTATAGAAATAAAGAGCTGCTCCATGAGCACATGATACATCGTCGCCCTTTCAGTTTTGATGATTTTTCAACGAAAAAAATTCAAAAACTCCGCAATGTCATATCAGAAATTAATAAAAAACAAAAGAGAGCTTATTTCAAACGATATAAACAAGTCACCATAGTTTCATGAAAACTGCTCAAAGAGTTGTTGAGTTATTGTCTGAAAACTGGAAAATCACTCCTTTTTTATGAATAAAATTTCGAAACTAGGAAACGTCAAATCTAAATATCAAAAGGGAGCTTGCGTCAATAGATATAAACAATTCACCGAAGTTTCATAAATAAATGTGGATAGTGTCCACAGATCATGCCCCCGCTTTCATATCATATAGTTATAAAGGGACATAACTGAAGAACGGTAAAAGTGACACTACCCAAATTTGAACTTTATCTGAGTTTTATGGTAATGAATATTGTGTATAGGTTTCATAATGTTTGGTTGGGGCAAACTTAAGTTACAGAATGGAAACTAAAAATTTTGCAATCTTTCGATTTATAAAGGAGCATAACTCAATAATGGTTAAAGTGACACTACCCAAATTCAACTTGATCTGTTTTTTAATAGTGGAAGTCAAAATTAAACATTGCATTGTATAAAGCATTGATTGTAGTTGATTCAACTATAATCATGGACAAAGGAAGATAACTCCAATTTTAATAAAAATTACTTGATATTTGGAAGAAAATAAAAATTTTGCAATTTTTCCATTTATAAAGGGCATAACTCTAGAACGGTTAAAGTGACGCCACCAAAATTCAAACTTGATCTGTGTTTTGTGATAATAAGCATTGTGTATAAGTTTCATAACATTTGGTTTAGGCAAAACTTAAGTTAGAGAACAGAAACTAACAATTTTGCAATTTTTCCATTTATAAAGGGGCATAACTCTAGAACGGTTAAAGTGACGCCACCAAAATTCCAACTTGATTTGTGTTTTGTGGTAATAAGCATTGTGTATGAGTTTCATAACATTTGGTTGAGGCAAACTCAAGTTAGAGAACGGAAACCAATTTTGGGACGTACGTACGTATGAACGTACAGACGGACAAGGGTAAAACTTAATGCCCCCACCGCTACGGCGGGGGCATAAAAATTGGTGAAAGCATTTTTAAGTTATTATCAAAAGTGTTGACGACCGACGGACGAACGGACAGAGGGACAACAGTGTACCATAATACATCCTGTCTTAGACGGGCGTATAAAAAATAACCACAGACACTCAATGTTGACCCTGCTGCAGAATGAAGAATAGCTATGTCTCGTTTCCACTACAGAGATGTCCCAGGTTTGGCAAAAATGATGACCAATAGAAGTATTCCTATAATATCCAATTCTATTATTACCAAGTTTATGACAAAATCTTATATGGCAATTAATTATCAAATTAAGGAATAAAGAATTTGGCAGTAAAGTAAACATATTAAATCTAGGATAACAATATAACTTTATTTGCAGTACAGTTGACTACACTGCTATAATACAATAAGCTTATTTACACAGTCCAGTTATCCTGTCAAAAGCTGTTAAACGTGCTCATTTTCACCTGACCAAAGTGAACAACTGTTTGTTCGAAAATTTAAATGTAAATTTGATATTTCAATATTTTTAAAGTAATTTCTTAAACTACCACTTTAAAATTCTAATATACCAAACAATTTTGTTCAGTTTTAGATTTTGACTGAAATAATTTAAAGTTTTAACTAAGTACCCTGCTTTAAACAATTAATTTCATTATTTCTTGTTATAATTAACACTGGCCTGTAGAGTTGAGATATGAACCGTTATGTGAATTCTGGCTTATTACTTTCTATAAACTGCATTCAATATGATGCACCATTAATGCTCAGCAAATATAAACTGGTTCAAACAACTCTGCTTTATAATATAATTTATAATTACAAATTGGTGTGTTATGCTTACAAATGCAGTACTTCATTCTAAACTCTACTAAACAATCTAACATGAAAAATCAAAACTGAAGATAAAAACACTATAAACATCTTCCTATATCCTTATCACAAAAGTAACTGATAGAAGATTAATTAAAATGTAGATAGAGGTTTGGATATAAAGACCACTGGAGAAAAAGCAAGGAAAATAATAAGTCTTATATCCCTATAATTAGTCTGACGCAAGGCAATGAAAATGAGAATAATAAAATTGCCAGTTGCTTAAGATATTTATAAAATAATTAAATGTATGGCATCTTCGAAACAACCTGTAATGAATATTAAAATCTAATATATAACAAACGTTTTAAGTTTTTTGAATTGGAATATGCTTTCCTAAATAAATATCTAAAAGAAAATGATGGTTCATTTTACTGAAAGTTTTCGTGCATAGTTTGTGAATGTAGGACATGGCTGGCTATCTAGTCACTTAAGTACAGCTTTAATTATAAGGAAGCAAAGCTCATACACTGATGATATGTAACCTATTAATAAATTATGTCAAGAACTTTTAAGCCTTTCAATGGTCTGTCTATAAACCAAATAAATGCACTAAATATTTTTTTCAAATATTGGACTTGTAAAAATTAACAACAGACAACAAATCTTTAAATAAATGGTATATGCATTCTGTTAAGATCCAAATTTCAGAATGATAATTTCAATATGAATTTTTTTCATTAAAAGCAAAGACCAAAACATTATCCATATTTTATCTCTTTAATCATTCTGAAACTCTTACTCAAGGAATAAAATTACATATTTCTTTAATGGTGTATCTTAAAATCTGTACAATTACTGGTTTTGTTTACAACATTAAAATCTCAATATAAAACATTAAAAATTCTAAAAAAAACGCTGACTGATAAACAGTATAATTATGTCAGGACAAGAATATGTGAAAACAAGACAACAATTCACCAATGTATAAGAGTATTTTCTCCCTGGTATATTTCTTAAGTTTAAAACATAGATATCATACACATTGTTTGAGACATAATGCCTTTTTCCATAAAATTGTTAGTCCGAAAACCAATGAAAAAGTATTATATATTTTCTAACATATGCATCACACTATGAATCTGACAAAATAAGACAGAGACATCTTTTACAACTCTATATACTAAATACCTTATCATATAATTATAATAATTAACTTTAACTGCTCAGTCAGGTTTTTTCAATGTAAAAACTTTTAAGAATGAATTACACTTAATATTTATTCAAATAAATGGGAGTCTTTAAAAATATTTAATAAACAAAATCTTTCTGGTTATGACTTGAATAAACTATTACTACTTTTATACAAATAAAACCATACATACAACCCAGTAAACAGAGATAACACATAACCATTCAATCTCTAAAAATTACGATTGTCCAAATATTATCATGACCTGAATGCCCATAATGAAATCGGCCAAAATCCAAACAGCAAGCTGCTTTGCAAAAGCTTTGAACATTAAGAAGGCCATTTGATTTAGAAGTAATCTACAATACTGAATTTCATATTACAGTTATTTTCCCATGCTAAAGCAGTAATATACCACTACAGAAAAAAATCTGTTCGTTTAAAATCTTTCATCTTTCCAAATAATACAGTTACAGCGAAAAAAACAAGAATCTAGCTCTACAAGAATACTGATTGATATTATTATGTATGTATATATCTACTTGGAAATATGATAAATGAATTCTTTTTTTCTTTTTTTAGATTAAATTGGAAAACTAACAGCAATATCAAACATGCTCTTTTTTACTCTTTATTATATCAAACATCGACTAATTCAAACAAGCAAGAGTCTTGAAGGGCTATGTGTACACTCACTATGTATAATAAATCTCTGATTTTGATCATGTTAACTTTCAATTAACATAACACATTTTCTTACAAAATAATACATTTCCAACTTTCTCCCTTTATCAAAGCACCTAAATAAAATATGCAATAGTTATAATGAGCTATATTTAAAGTATCTGAAACTGACAAACAGACAATCAATATAACAAAAATAACATGATAAAGCATAACAGGGGAGGTAACTCAAAATTTTATAAATGTTTAGCTAGAAATAAGTAATCTGTCTTCTACTTTTTGACCGTCTCCACATAATTTGACGGGAGCATACCACGTCTTCCCGTTGCTTCCACTGTACCCTCCATCCAACCAGCATCAATTGGTTGACAGAATATGATGTGATCACCCTCATTAAAACTGACTTCATCATCATCGGCAGCCACGTAATCATATGCTGCACGGCAAACCATCTAAAATTTTCAAATAAAGAAAACAAATGTTACTTGATCAGAGTTCAAAGATTAAATGAAAAATGTAATCTACAATTATTTATAGAGAACTAACTTGTGAATATTTTTTAAAAACATATGCATAAAAAATGGACTACTATAAGCTCAAGATCGGTTTGGTACTATATAGCCTTGGATTGTGTTTTCAAATGGTGCAGATAAGCTAAGAAAAATAATCTCATTTGAATGTGAGTGCTTGAAGGGCATACAAAAAACACCTTCCATGTGCTATAGATGGTTGTAAAAATGATTTACAAAATTTTCTTTAGTGTTACTATTTTTTTTTTAATATCAATTGTTATTTAAATACTTTCAGGCTTTCTTTTTTTCCATCTATTCATTTAGCTATCAAATATAAAATTGGAAATGGAAAACATATAAATTTTGGAATGGACATGAGTAATGGAATGGAGAGAGAAAGTTATCACTTAATCCATGCCCTCAACTGGCAGCAATTATAAAACTTCAATAGCAAATAATTTGATACATAATATCAGAGCAAAGTCTTTATTTTGTGCTTGTAGCAATCTCAGAATACTTCTGAAAAGGGACCAATTTAATAAAAAAAATAAATTGCTTCGCCAAGCGCAGCTGGATACGATCGCAGAGGTCCAACCATGAACAGTTGGGGCAAAAATGGACACAATATTCATGCTTGATACAGGTCTGAATTTGGATTGTGATTCAATATTTGACACATAATAGGTTTCTGACACAGAATAACTGTAGTCAAAGAACTTAGAATTGGTAATATAATTTGAATTTATATTCATTTTTGCTTTCCCTTAGTCATGGTCATAATTTCAATTCAAATTTCCAATGGAGTTTGCAACCATAATAACCCATTTAAATACATCATAAAAGTCTTAAAATAGAAAATGACATACATAATCATAGCTAAAATTAATTTACCTTAATCAGCATTTTTAAAATTATTAAAATATTAACTTCTAAAAATGAATTGACAGCTAATCACCTCAAGACAATACAAAAATTATTTATACATAATTTAAAAGCAGTGTAAGGGAGGTAATTCAAAGTTGTGTTTGAATAACCTCCCTTATACTGTAATTTGTACTTAAGTTATTGTCCATTAACCAGGACACCCTTGTTTTTTCTCACTTTTTTGCCCCTAATTCCTAAACGGTTTGAGCCATAACCCCTAAAGCCAATCCTAACCATCCCTTTGTGGTATGGAAACTTGTGGTATAATTTCAGAGAGATCCATACACTGTTCCACAAGTTATTGTCATGAAACTAGAAAAATGCTTATTTGGGCCCCTTTTTGGCCCCTAATTCCTAAACTGTTGGAACCATAACCCCATAAAATCAATCCAAACCTTCCTGTTGGGACCATAACCCCATAAAATCAATCCCAACCTTCCTTTTGTGGTTATAAACCTTATGTTTAAATTTCATAGATTTCTATTTACTAATACTCAAGTTATTGTCCAGAAACCAAATGTCTTAGGACGATGACGACTACGTGATACCAATATACGACAGCAAAATTTTTTGCGGTCGTATAAAAAACATTATGCCCAAAATGGTACATCCCGACTAAAGCAAACTTCATGCTTCAATATATGTTCTATTTATAGTAATAATGTAAACCTTCTTAGCTAGAAGTTGGGAGTCGTATGCAAGTGCTTTACCTGTAAATCCTTCTTCATACAATACTAATGATTGGCCATTTAGTGGAGACTTTCAGTGGTTTCAAAATTTGTAGTGTTCTAGTTTCCAAGCTTATTCAAGAGGTACTTTTCAATAATATTGAATTAGATGACACAAGTTAAACACTAAAATTGTGCAGTTTCTGGAGGATAGCCTACATGTATGTTAGGAGGATCAAGATATATAGTACTACTTCATATCAAAATATTACTGTTCATTTTTCATAAGATTTATTTAATTTTGATACTATGACCCTGTAATGGATAGAAAATATTTATTTCAAGATTTGGCAACTAAGGCAGTGGCTATTCATTTTAAGAGACATAATCTCTTAATTAGTAATAATTATCTATTTCCCTCATAAAATAATTCATTAAGAGACGGTATAAAACATTCCATGAGATTTATTGTGATTTTATCATTTCTTGAAAACAAACCATTTTTTAAAAAGATTCATCATTAGTTGTTTACTTGAACCTGTGAAAACATCTATTATCAAACGACAGTACAAAATATAGGGTATATGTATGAAAATGTTGACAAAACTTTAGGGATGGCAAAGTGTAAATATAAAAGCATGCTTAGGATGTCCCCTGTACTTACACCTTTGCCCGTGGTATCATAAAAGGATTCACATTCATCTTGTTCCTGTAAAGTCATATATTCAAACCAGATCATGATATTATATACTCATTCGATGTTATTGGTTTTATTGTTCAGGCCTTCAGGGAATAACAATTAACATGAATATCTGCAATAACCCTCAGATAAATAGGCTCCCTCCAAGTCAAGACACAAGTTACTTTTTATTTGACATTAAAACATCAATGATTACAACAGAAAACAAATCAATCATATTTATAAGCCCAGTATCTTTAATGAGTTATTTATCCTCATTAAAATTCAAAAATCCTATTCTATAAATAAATTTGCACAATTTTTATGAAGCTTACAATATTCTATAAATAAATTTGCACAATTTTTATGAAACTTACATACTGTGACCCTTCAAGTTTGATGTTAATTGCTTTATTGTAATTTATGATTATTCAGTAATTGGTATAGTTATCTCCCAACGTAATTGGTATAGTTATACACATCTCCCTACGTAATTGGTATAGTTATACACATCTGCCAAAATAATTGGTATAGTTATAAATATCTCTCCAAATAATTGGTATAAAGTTATACACATCTGCCAAAGTAATTGGTATATGTATACACATCTCCCCAAGTAATTGGTATATGTATACACATCTCCCAAGTAATTGGTATATGTATACACATCTCCCCATGTAATTGGTATATGTATACACATCTCCCCAAGTAATTGGTATATGTATACCCATCTCCCCATATTATTGGTATATGTATACACATCTCCCCAAGTAATTGGTATATGTATACACATTTCCCCATGTAATTGGTATATGTATACACATCTCCCAAAGTAATTTGTATAGTTATCCAACTACAACTTACTCCTTTTCCAGAGAATCTATCTGCTTCTTGTGGTGGTGGTGGCTGGGCAAATTGTTGTGGTGGGGGTGGTTGTCTTGGTTGTTGAGTTCCTGCAGCTATTAAAACAGAATGTCCATTAAAGGTGATCAAAAATGCAATAAATTTAATTAAATAAACCTTTGATATTAACCTACATCTATCAGTGTTATTGTTTACACTTCTGTTAATTGGTTTTTTTTTATACTTTTTGTTTTTTGTTTTATCAAACATTTTTCTGAAATACCTTGAAAAGAGAAATTAAATCATGCTTAGTGAAACAGTAAGGAGTAAGCTAACTGCCATAATATGAAAAAAGCAATCAGAGAAGTTATGATGCAGGTATATTAACTATTAGGAAAGAAAGAAAAGTACTGCATGAAATTCAATGAAAATTATATTTAGTTCTTTTATAATTAACCCTACACTTCTTCATGAGTAAAAACATTTTATTTAAAAGTTTATTGTCATTGTCAACTACAATCACAGTATATCTACAGACAACAAGTAAGTGTTTGTATAAAAATCTCATTAAATTAAAAAAAAACATTGAATAATCTCTTAGCATAATGAAAATTGGATAGATAATACAAAATAATGAAAAAAAATTGCAATTAATCTAAAATGACAAACATACAAAACTGTCCTGTTACTGATCCCCATCTGTCGTTAATTGGGTCATAATCCGAAATGGAACCAACACGTCTTTGTGAAGAGGGATTTTCCACTGAAATTTACACAATATAAAAAATAATTTTTTCTTCTGATGAATTCTTCAATGTGCATGAAAACTTAATGTTGTATTCAAAATATATTAATGAAGTGCAATCATACAAACTAAGATAAGAACAACATAACATGACAATAGAACAACAAGTACAGTACAGACAAACAAATCTTTTAATGGTACAAATCAACAATTTCCTTAAATGAAATTTCCCATAAAAAAATCAAGGACAATAACATGTATATGAAACATATTGTTAAACTGTACACAGTTTTCCCAACAGAAATATGCCTACTAGTGTTCATGCAAATAATGTATAGAGGAAAAATAGGTCATTCACTATTTCTTTTTCTAAACGTATTGTCAATCAAACTTAAGTTTTAACTAAGTTATAGATAGAAGGTACTAGTATTAGTGAGAATGCAAGAGAGGCTACTGAAATAAGAGATAAGCTGATTAGTCAGTACTAAAAACCCAATGTTAATTATCAATTTAATATCAAATACTATATAATCTTTATTCACTCTAATTCAAACATTGTTTTACCGCCTCAGAGTGTTTGCCTCGAGTACAGGACGTATAGGGTTCAAACCCATGCCGGATCAAACCAAAGACTTTAAAATTGGTATTTGCTGCTTCTCCGCTAAGCACAAGGCATTAAAGAGTAAAAGCAAAGAATGGTTGGCTGGAAGTCCGAATAATGTGTCCAGGTAAGGTGACATGTCTTCCTGCAGACTGTTACCTTGTGAACTAGCATGTTAAAAATCCGGCTCAGCATGTCAGTCTAGTACAAAGCAGGGTAAATATTCATATTACATTAACATGTTCTCATCCTGAATATGCATATTAATTTGCCGTTGGATGTTAAGCAGCCTTCCATCATCATCAATAAACATTGCTTATGGTCAAACGGCAACAACATGTACTAAAATGTCTGCAGTTCACATTAAATTTTTGATACTTTATTGTTACCATGGTTTTCAATGCTGATAACTTTTTAAATTATTGTGGGTATCATTGGCCAGAAGCCAGTTTTTGATCATTTGAGAAGAAATCTCTATTTATAAAAATAGATAATTTTGACCAATGTCAAGGGCCATCACAGACTTATGCTGCGTTATTGAAGTATTTAATGTCAAATAAATTTGGTACTGGTTGTCAATTGTTGTTAAGCTTTCCTTTCAGACAAATTAGGGTTAATAATGCATGTATTTGGTGTCATAATTAGATTTTCACATTTGTAAATATTGTTAGTTTTAATCAACAAATGTCCACAATTCATAGATTATTTATACATATAAATGCTTGATGTGTTATTCAATTTAAAAACTATTAAAATGACAGAATTTATAATTGTATAATTTTTAATTAGTACAAAAAACCTCCAATGCATACACTAACACTATACTAAAGCTTTAGGTTTCATATTGGTATATTTCATTGCTGAAGAAGAAAACTAGGTCAAGCTTGGGAAAATCACCCCTAAAATTTGCTTCAATTTTTTTTGATAATTTTCACCTCTTTAGCAAAAAAATCAATACATAAATATGTCATCTTGATATAAGAACAGCTAATTTACTTATGGAAATAAACTTATTTTTCTGAAATGCATCTACTCCTGCCTGGTCCTTTGTTCAGTCAGCTGAATATTTCAATGAGTAAAATTATTATTGTGTTTTTGTTCCTGATGTGTAATTTTATTATGTGGTACATACATTATTAGAACACTGTTTTACCAAGCAACAGAATAGATTTTGATTGTTTCTATGGTGTTTTAGAAATTAAAGATTAACTGTACATTTTACATTATAAAGGCTTTCCTATAATATTCAGTTTTGTCAATAATTATAACTTATTAAATTAATAAAAACATGTGTGGTATGCTACATTCATTTTAAAGTTATTTTAAAACATCTCTAGTTTAGAAGTGTCTTTGATCAACTACATCCATTACCATGGCTTTGCCTAGCATTGAAACATGCAAATTGTAACAGTTCACCATAGTGACCTTAATAAATTCATAATAAGAATACATCAGAAATCAGCCTTTCTATATAATGTGTTAAGTTTTCTTATGAAAAACATATGTTTGTATGCACTAAACTTTATATTATCTACCCTGAACCACTTCCTCCACTAATAATAAAAGCCTAATAAGAAAAATAAGCTGAGCTATTATTGACATGGTTCAGTGAAAAAGTTTTAAAAGATTTAATGATATTAAACATAAAAAATTATTATTCATGAAAAAATAAGAAGAAAAAAGCATTGACCTTCTACCAAACCAGGGTTTCCAAATTGGCCATATTTTTCTCACTTGTCCTTTATCATTTATCGTTGGCTGAATAAAATGCAAGAATTTCACAGAAATCATGGAAATTTATCCCTTAAAAAAGAATTTCTAAATTTTGTGGAAATTTTTCTTTACTGTACATTGACAAAAATGTACAATTTTTTCGGGTGACTTTATGCTGAGTTTTATCCATGTAACATCAATATCAAGAATAAGCCTTGAACTTTTTGTTCAGTGTGTTATTGCAATATTGAAAAGTATAGAACAAATTTTGTATGATGTTCAACCACTTCAAAGGATGCAGTGGTAAGTAACTGAACCTATATGAAAGTATGACTTCATCATGTGACCAAATTTCTTGCCCTTTATTTCCGTTAATTCCCTTGATTGGCTCAAAAGCCTTTATTAACAAATGCAAGAGATAATGGATCAAAAGTGTGCAACTGACTACATTTTTTTTCTGGAAACCCTGAACCATAAACTATCAGACTGCAATGAAGAAAAAGGGAGTATACGTCAACCAAAAGAAAATGCATTATAATTCTGAAGCAAAGTCTATGAAATTTCAACATATAGTTCTGCTAAAAATGATAATCATCTGTACAATATTGTATCAAGTCCATAGATATAAAAATATAAGAAGAAGCAAACATATTACAGTGAAGATCCTTGATGAGTCAGATTTTAAAAGACCACATCAGCATCTTACATAAACTTAAACCCCTTGTTGCACAAGCACTGTTAATCTTATCAACAAAACATGAATTTTAGGTTGATCTCTTTATAATTTAAATAGATCTCATAAAGTTATCTTTAAGGTAGTTATTTTATTTTTTTACTTCAATTCTAAGAGAACCAAACCTTTCTAAACTGTCATTTCTAAAAATTAAGCAAAAGTTTTCAAAATGACTGTTTTTATTTTCACTTGAATTAGTTTTAATCATTATTTTACATAACAGCTGTAAATAGATAGATGGAGAAATATTTCATTTAGGATTTCTACCCTAACTTACATAAGAACTATATTTAACTTTTGATCTGTACAATGCTGATGTGTTTAAAATTAAAAAAAAAAAAACATGACCACATTTAATCAATTAAGTCCACTGTAAAAGTTGGAAAAAAGCAAAAATAAAGTACTGAATTATTTACCTGAACCTTCACCATCTACAGAAATCATTACATGTCATGTGATTAAACCTGTCAACATCTAGGTTAATGAATGATAAGATAGATGTTATATTTTGATTGTCTTTATGTTATCAAATGTGTTTCTGTATTGACCATTAGAAACCTTTGATTTAAAATAGACATGCTAATAAAATGCTGATAATACAAATTAATTGAAGTAAAAAATATATTAAGTTCATAACAAACATGAACAAGACTAGATTAAAAGACAAATAATAATAAAAAACCTAAAATAAAAAACGATTAGTGATAAAACATGCCAAACATTTCACTGGTCAGATGTATCAGTACCAATAATGTTCAACAAACTAATCCAATTCTGTATAAGATGAGTAAATTATTTAATATTTCACCAGTAATACAGAACAACCTACCCCATACTAACATATACAAATTTTTACATATAGGGGACAACAAATTGTGCACCTAATTTTCTTGTGAAAAATGGATAACTTATCTTCGCCAAAAATGAACAATTCTACATACAGTCTGATAAAAAAATAAATGGGGAATGTGTCCACGGGACACAGATGATGCCCCTGCTTGCATATAACATTATAAAGTGATATAACTCAAGAACCGTAAAAGAGACGCTACCGAAATTTGTACTTGATCTGAGTTTTATGGTAATAAGCATTGTGTATAAGTTTCTTAACATTTGGTTGAAGCAAACTTAAGTTAGAGAACGGAAACAAAAAATTCAGCAATTTTTCCATTTGTAAAGGATTTGATTTGATTTTTGGTGTTTTAACACCACTTTTAAGCACCGCTTTTGGGCTATTTCGTTGCGGCCAGTTTTTATTGGTGGAGGACATTTGTAAAGGAACATAACTCTAGAACGGTAAAAGTGACACCACCAAAATTTATACTTGATCTGTGTTTTGTGGTAATAAGCATTGTGTATAAGTTTCATAACATTTGGTTGAGGCAAACTAAAGTTAGAGAACGGAAACCAATTTCTGAACGTACTGATGAAAGAATGTACAGATGTACGGATGTACCGAGGGACATACAGACAGACAAGGGTAAAACTTAAAAAAAAAAAATAAATGTGGAATGTGTCCATGGGACACAGATGATGCCCCCACTTGCATATCATATAAAGATATAAAGGGACATAACTGAAGAATGGTAAAAGTGATGCTACCCAATTTGTACTTGATCTGAGTTTTGTGGTAATAAGCATTGTGTATAAGTTTCATAACATTTGTTTCAGGCAAACTAAAGTTAGAGAACGAAAACAAAATATTCAGCAATTTTTATGTTTATAAAGGGGCATAACTAAAGAACGGTAAAAGTGACAGCACCCAATTTCCAACTTGATCTGTGTTTTGTGGTAATAAGCATTGTGTATAAGTTTCATAACATTTGGTTGAGGCAAACTAAAGTTAGAGAACAGAAACCAACTTTGGGAAGTACGGACGTACGTACGGACGGACGTATAGACGGACAAGGGTAAAAATTAATGCCACCTCATAAAAAAATAAAAAGTAAATGGGATGTTAATTTTAATTTCAAAATGAAAGTATTTATAGATGTATATTGTATCACTAGCTTTCCCTGAAACTGGTTCCCTCAAAGAGTTTTTTAAACCTATTTCTTAGTCTAGATAAAAACCATGACAAAAACTTTATGATTATCTAAATGTGGTATACATCCTTAATTATGAATGGGGTCTAAGTCTGCTTACATGCTTACCCCACACCTTCTCAATTTGAAACTTTTTAAATAGTCTATAATTTTTTTAAACATAAAAATATCAAACAATGGGTAAAACAGGAATACTACTGGTTATTCAGAATTGTTTTCAAACAGAAAATTCAAACATGTCAAACAAGTTATCATTCTATCTATCAATAAACAATAAACAAAAACGAGGAATGCAAATAACTTTCAAACTGTCGAACTACACAGTGTCAAAGACTATGATCCAAAAACTGTCAAACTACAGTGCTTAGATCATAGTCCTAGAACTGTCTTTAAATTTTAACAGCATTCTAACTTTACTCACTATTATCATGATGTTGATAGAATGGCCGTACCTTGGCATTAAAATTATTATCTAATCCTGTATAAATATCAAATCAATTTGTAGTAGAAAAATTGAGTTGTTTCCCTTTGATCTTTGACAATAAACACTAGCATCTGACAACACAAATAATATTTAATCTATATCATCCCTTTGTTCTTCTTTTGGCAAAGGGAAATATTTACTCCAAGTATGTTTCACAAATGTCAGAATAGGATTGCAAGTGGTGTGCAACATATAACTGTCATATAATTTTTTCAATTATAAATGCAGATCTTTCAGAGATAGGCATGAAGATTTATCAAAAGTAAAATATATGATAAGAAAACAACACTTTCAAACAGTCAATGGTTAGGGGAAAAAGTAATCCTTATTGGTATTGATTAAGCAATAGTCCATTTTTTTTGGCCATAATTTGTCCTTATAAAGTTTATATTAATCAGGCAATATTAAAAGATGTGACAAAAAAATTTGTATTTTATTTCATTTCTTGCAACATTGATAAGATTCAATGACTGATATTTTCAAATAATTTAATTTTGGATGTATAAACTCATCTTTTGAAAGTTTTTTGTCTATCAGCTCATAGACATAATTTTGTCATGTGACTGTGACATCATCAAAGTTTTTTCATGATTTACTCATTAAAAATGAAATTTAGAATTAAATTATAAGGAATAACACAAAAAATGTGGTGCACACATTTAAATAATATTCAGTGTACACTACATTTTTTATGTTATTTCTTCATAGAAAGAAAAAAAATTACAGTCATTCCTTAAATAATTTGAAGTCTTCATATTAAAATTTTAGAATATTTACACTTCATTTTGTGTAACCCTATTCTGTTAAGATATCCACCATACTTAGTTTATTATCAAAACATTTTCTTATTTTTGCCAGAATAAAAGGTTCATATATAACCGTCCAATAACCCACCTCTTCCAGTGTTAGAATCATAAACTACAGCTCCAGAGTTTCTTGACGAGTATGGTGTTCCTTGGTTTTGTTGTTGGTCTCTAACTGGGTCATAGTTATGAATACTTCCTGGATTTGGGCGCACACGAACATCTGTTAAAATAGAAAAATACTACTACTTTTAATTTGAGTTTTACAACTATAGAAATACTGCAGCTTTAGAGGTAATTAAAATAAGTGAGACAGAATAAAATATGTGACAGAAAGTCTAGACTAAAATATATCCTTCATATATTCAGAATAAAATGTGTACCAGATTATAGATTAAAATATGCCTAAATACAGATTATGCTCAATACAATGTTGAATGTCATAATTTCTAGGAAATAGGTTTCAATTCTAGATAATGTTGCTATGGTTCTTTGTTGAATTTGTGAATGGCAGTACTTAAAACGAACTCAGCTAGGTCAACTAAAATTATTTCAATACAGGCCTCTCATTTCAAGTTGTCACTCAAATATTCAAAATAACTTTCTGATAATTCTGTTTTCTTTTATAGAAATGAGAGAGAGAGTCATTCTTTTTTAAGTAATAGAGACAGAGAAACTTTGAGCATGGTTAATCACTGGTTTGTATTGTACATAAATAGTTCATGAATTAGATCAGACAACAAAAGAAAATGTAAACGTTTCTCTTTTTATGCAATTAATTATTTATAATCAGGATATCCACTATGGGAAGTTCTTTCCTGTTTCTAAACACGTTTTTAATTATCTACTACTTAACACTACAGATAGAGTGTCTGAATCCAAATAACCACTATATAAAATTCTTTTTTAAATGACTTACAATGAATCTATAATAACAAGTCAATTTAAACAAAAGTATAGAAACTTAAAATCAATTTTTAGATCAAATCATGTATTAAATACATAATTTGACATATTTTCACATTTGCATGATTGCTTTAATACATTAGAAATAATTTTAAAATTACTGATAGCTAGTATACCTGATGTTTCAAGACTTATAATTGTTGAAAGCATTTGTAACTAAATATATGATGAGATGAAATACCATAACCAGGTTAAACAATATATCATTAATTGATTGATTGATTGATTGATCTTTACTTGCTTCACATCAAGTGTCAATCAATAAATTGATGATACAAGAATATAATACAATATATATACACATACAAATGTATATTGAAATATAGGTTTGACTATAATACACAGTATATCTGATTATTAGTAATAAAAAAGCTTTTCCTTTGCCAAAAATATAAATATGAAATGGCAATCTGCCTAGCTGTATATATCATGCTGGTGATGTTAACATGAAGATAAAAAAATTATTACTGACATGAAATTTATCATTTACAAGATAAGATAGAGGAGGAAAGGGGTATACCTTGTGCAGAATTTTTTTGTTCCCTTTCATGTAAAGATATACTTATTTTTTAATTCATAACGGTTTAAAATAACAAGTCTTTGGAAAGGACATTTTCTTAAAATCCTTTATACCAAAGTAATGTACCTTTTACAAATTAAAGTTATTTGATTTTATGAATAAAATTGTCAAACCATTTTATTAAAATAAAGATACAATTTCAATTTAATTTTTTCTGATATTCAATCAGTACTAAGAGGTGTTGATTAACCTAAAACTTTTGTTAACAGTAATACATTTGAGAGGTTTGGCTTGCTGTTAAACCTGATTCAACCCAGTTTTCCATTGTAAGTGTCTATGGCCTGTACAAATTCCATCGCTTTGATAGCCATTTTTTGGTTATTCGCCCAAATTATCTTGTTTTCGCTGGTGATTAAAAATTCACACAAGAGAAATACCTTGTCTAGACCTGTGTCACTGCATACAATTGATTGAGGTAATACTGAGGCATAAGTGATCCTTCCCTAAAATCATTGAAGCCATTGGATGAAAATTTTCTTTGTGCACAATGAGTGTTGTAAAATTTCAAACTATCAGCAAACAGAAAGTGGTTGCATGTCAGATGTTAAAATAGCTAACACACTATAACTCAACATTATCACACTGCAAACCAAATATAAAATCATTCGATTTCATAGAAGACAAGAAAACTTTAACCCAGGTTTTCTACCCAAAGTCTTTCGAACAAACAGATGGATAGATGGAGTCGAGCAGTTACTAGACCTGCTTTTGCTGTTGGTGATGTTGGTAAAATGATATGGAATATACATCAACGATACAAAAATCCAACTACATGGGAAATCCAAAAGGTTCTTGTAAATTCCTATATTTAAATAAAACAACCTGTATGGCAAAAGCCTGTGAAAAACTTCTCTCGTTAGTTATTCAAAATACTGTATAAGGTCTTTCAGGGCTTATACAAAATGTAACTGAAAAAGATTTTCAAGAAGCAAGTTCTAGTATTATCATATAACTACATATATATAACAAAAATGTCTTGCCAAACTATAATGTATATAGGAGAAAGGGGGAAAAAAAATATAAAACTTCATTGTTTTCATGAACCGCCAATTTTTCCAGATCTTCTTCATCTTATGTAGATTGAAATGCAACAAGTATTAGAGTATCTTAGATACTAATGCACAAATCATTTTGTTTCTACAGATCATTTTTTTTATATATTCTTTATCTGACAACCACAGAGTTTTATCCTTGAAGTATCAAAACCTGTGTATCAACCACTATGATCTAACCTTGAAGAAATTACATTCAGCTGTTTCTGTATAAAATGGCTTTTTAAAGGATGTATTCATACATACAAAAGGCAAATATAAACAGAAATTAACAAATATTTTATTGCCTTACAATTCTATTTCCAGTAACCTGAAAAGGAGCATAAATGGTTTGCAAACTTTGTTGAAAAATATGCTTTTACAATTTACCAAGACAGTCTTTATTTTTTAATTTGTGTTGACTCAACTATCAAATTAAAAGCAGACTTCTTCAAAAGCCCTATGACTTAATCAGTTATTCTGTGGCAGTAGGTGATTTTCATTTGATGTCCAAATTCATAATACAATTTTTGACTTTTGATGAGATTAATACAATGATTTATCAACACCAGTGATATGATATTCACAGAGACCAATGGCCGAGTGTGAATGTCATATCTGGGGGGTTGATAAATCATTGTATCAACTGAAATCAAAAGTCAACAATTGTTTTTTTATATGACCTTTTTATCTTTCTCCAATTTTCTAGTATTGATCAGTATTTGCTCATGATACTTTTCAAACTGCTCCTTGTTTTTATACTAAATATATCATCTGCTTTGGTAGTTGCTAACTTTCATAAGTTGAAATATTCAACAAAAATTTCTAAAAAAAAGTACATCAAAAACAAGAAAAGCAGAAAAAAATAAACCAAAAACAAGAAGGAAAGAAAAATCATGAATTTGCATGGCGTCATAAATCAGTGTCAAAAATCAACGTCATTGACGTTGTCATGGAATATCTATATTTAGGTACATGTTAGCTGTTCCAAATCTTATATTAACCTCACATGATTTTTCCTGTGGTGAATATAATGTTTTATCATAGAAGACTTCATATGCTTTTAGCCAATGAAAAAAGAGAAATATTTTAGTCATATAATAATCATAGCCTCTCCACAAGAGACCAAATGACACAGAAAAAAACAACTAAAGGCCGTATGGCCTTCAATAATCAGCAAAGCCCATACTGCATAGTAAGCTATATAAGGCCCAGAAATGACAAATGTAAAACAATTCAAACAAAAAAAACTAAAGGCCTGATTCATGTACAAAATAATGAACGAAAAACAAATATGTTACACAGCAATGAAAACCACTGAATTACAGTCTCCTGACTTGGTACAGGAACATACATAATGTTTATATATTTGTAATACCACGAGATCAAGTATCCAAGAGAATTGGACCCCACAAAAATAAATGAATCCACAGTAAGTAATGGAAATATTATGTGCGTGATAACTGCACCACATACAGTCTATGATCCGTTGTTTTTTTTTTCTTTTAAAAAAAGAATCTCACATGTGCAGACTGAAACTAATACATTAATCTATTGGTTCCATGTACAGACAGAATGGAACTCCCATTTCAGAGTTCACATTTAACACTATCAGTATGACTAAAAGTTTCCTGCAGATTCATCCTTCATATCCTGTCAGCCACCTTCTAAATGAAATGCAATAAAGCCATACTAGTTTCTATCCTCGGGTTAACCATTCTTATATAATATCTGCAGCATTCTTTGTTATTCATGCAATATAATTTTTTAGTAAAAGTAAAGCATTACAGTTGTATAATTGTGCATTATATTAGTGAGCCATTACCTATCTCTGACCAATATATATTTTCAGATTAGTAAAATACAATAAAATCTTGATACATACATTATAATCATTAAGTTGATGAGGAAGTGCTTGTAACATTTTATCAACATTATGATAATTAATATTTTAATAATTTTTTGGGGGGTTAAATTTTTTTCAAGATTTTATCAGTGTTAATAATAATTAAAGGAAATTGAATGAGATACCTTCTTGATAGTCCCTATTATATCCTGGTGATTGTGGGGGACTGGTTGCACTAGTACGCCTAACTATAAACCAAGGAAGATTCATGTCAATTTTATGTTGTAGCATGACCAAAGCCACGGCAGAATGAAATTTATTTCAAAATCAAATCTTTCAAAAATTTATTCAACATTTCAATATTTATCTCAAGGATGTGACTTGATATTTTATTCATTTTTACACATGTAATTTAAGCAATTCAGCATGAGATTACAACATTGTGTTCATGTTACATTTTAGGAGGTTTTTTTTATAACAAAATTAAGGAAAAAAGTTATTCAAAAAACAAAAAAATAATAGAAATGTTGACTGGTGGATACCTTCTTGCTGGTCCCTATATCCTGGTGAGCGAGGAGGGCTTGTGGCACTGATACGCTGCTTAACTATAATGAACGAGTAAAATAAATGGAAAACACAACAAAATGAGATTGAAAAAAATCTTTTAAAGGTTTCATTTTAAAGTAAGTATTCTTTTTTTACCGTTCTTCAAAACTGTACAATGCATTTTTTTCCTGCTCTTAAACTTGTGCAATGATAACATAATAATTGATTTAGGTTAAATATTTATTTCTACAAAAAGTACTACTTGTCATAAAAACATCTATAGACCTTTCATACAATAATAAATTACAGAAATATTTACTTCAAGAACATTTGGAGCATGTTGCATACACTTAAATTTAATTCCAACCATCAGATAACTAAGAATATTTGCATCAAATATTTCTTTTACTGAATTCAAAAAAATATTCAACAGACGGCTTAGATTTCCTTCTGTGTATTCTTACCATTCTTTTTTTTTACTTGCTGTATGTAGAAAATTCATTCATTTATTCTCAATTTAAACCTACATTCATCAGCATAGTTTTTTAAATTTCAAAATTATACACAAAAAAAGTACAGGGGTAATATGATTGGTTGAAGTTTAAATCAGAAAGAGACAATATATGTTAGATATATTTTGATTGGTCAATACCTTCATTTTGAAATCCTGGTGATTGTGGTGGACTAGATGGGTGAGAACTTCTACGAACTAAAATCAATGAAAGTAATGTGAAAAATAGCATGCATTATTTGCTGTTTTGTGAAAAACAAAACTGAACATGTTAGAAATTATAAAGCAGTATTTGTTTCTTCTTCTAACTTTCGATATTTGTTCATGATGACAAGTATCATGAATTGCAAGAGTTAACATGAAAAAGAAACATTCATACTACTTCCTTAATAACTTACAAATTTATCTCATACATATAATATTCCAACCTTACCAAAAATTATAGATAGTATAAAACCATTTAATGAAAAATTTCAAATCGTATGTATGAGATTTATTTTAAATTGAAGACTTACATGTAATCAATATTTCTCAGTCCTGTCACCTGATAACTCATGACTTGTAAGGTGTAAAAGATATTTGCCAACCAAGTCAAAGAACTTTATGTGCATTTGTTTTCGATATCATTGATGGTATACATAGCTTTTCCACAGTTGCACAGTTCAACTTGATCAGTCAATTGTTTCTTTAACCTCATTTATTCATCAAACTGTTATAGAAGTAAAACTACAGTAAATATAAAAAAGGCTGCTGGAATGCAGGTCATAAGTTAACTTAAGTCACTGAAGCATGACATGAACAGGAGGTCAGTGAATTACTTTCAGTAAAATTAAAGAACCTTTGTGAGCACGCTCACATACCCCACGCCCCCACAGATTCCTAAGTTCAAAGACTCGTAACTCTACAAAAGTCAACTGATAAAAATTTTCTAATGGATATGCACATTTACATACTGTAAATTCAGAAATTATTGCGTGCATTTATTATTGCGATTTTTGAAAAATGGACATAAATGCGAAATTAATTATTGCGATGTCAGGAAAATCTGCATACAGATATATGTAAAAGATATAAGAATGCGAGTTCTTATTATTGCGATACTCACCCAGTCGCATTATTCGCATTAATAAAAACCTCGCAATAATTTCTGAATTTACAGTATTATGTCCTCATTAACTACAAAGTTTCATGAAATTTTGTAGTGTGGTTTCAGAGGAGTTGCGATGACAAACTGTTGCAGTAGTATATTGAGGCCAATAAGTTCAAAGGGGCACAACTCCTAGAAAAAATATTGAATCATAATTTCCTGTCGATATGCACATCTACATAGTATGTCCTTATTATCTACAAAGTTTCATTAAATTCTGTTGTGTGGTTTCAGAGGAGTTGCGATGACAAACTGTTGCAGTAGTATATTGAGGCCAATAAGTTCAAAGGGGCTTAACTCCTAGAAAAAAAATTGAATCATAATTTCCTGTATATATGCACATCAACATAGTATGTCCTTATTATCTGCAAAGTTTCATGAAATTCTGTTGTGTGGTTTCAGAGGAATTGCAATGACAAACTGTTGCAGTAGTATTTTGAGACGCTGCCGCCAGATAGTAATACCTATGTCTCGCATACTGTGACTTTTGTTGCAGGCGAAACAAAAATGACATTTTCTTACATTTAGATATATCTGTAGGTCATTTGGTGTCAGAGAGCTTAACTTGTACATCAAACTTAACCTACGATACTATTGTAAGAAATGAAGGTAACAGTGACCTACTTTTGCTGAATGGCTAGTATACTCTACTAGATGTATTATAATCATTCCATTAAGTTATATGTATTAAGTACTTGATATCTGAGAATTGACCTAAGACATAAAGCTTAACCTAGGTCAAAGAGAGAAATACAGGTCAAAATAATGTTTTAATGGTAGTCCCCTAGATGAATCATTGCACCAAGTTATGATTGTATCTCGGAAATTTTCTATGGGGAAAAAAACTTAAGTTGGCTGGTATATATTGAATTTGAGGGTATCCCATTAGTCCCCCAACATTGTAAATGCAAACAAAAAACTTTTGAAAAAGACAATAAACTGTCATTGATATTCCAAGTATAAAGATGGGAGTTATACATGTCATGATGAAAATGTTGTCATAAGGAATCGAACAATAAGGCATGTTACCAATAAAATTGGTTTTTTTTTTAATCCAATATGACTCCATGTAAATAGCATATACGCATTCAATTACTTTTTTTTCATTCCCATGCATAAAACTTAAACTGTTATAACTAAATGCTAACAAAATAATTGCTTAACTAAAAATAATGTGTTGTTACATTTTAAAATCATACACATTCTGTATAGTATTAAAAACAATTGGTAAAAGCATTTTCCAAAATATTCAATGCAGTTATTATCAAAACCAAAATAATAAAAACCGATGAGCATATACATGCCAATAAAATAGACTTATACCATAATGACACAATATAGATTATATAAAAAGTTACCATTGACTTGCTCAGCTGGTCTTTTGTACTCCATGTCTCTAAGTTGATCCCTATGTCCAGAGTATGCCACCTGACTGAAGTTCTGTGTATTCTGTCTAACACGCTGAGTCTCAGGGTCATCAACAACTGTCATCTTCTTTCCTTTTTGTCTCTCGAAATCTTCATGATATTTAACCTGAAATTACACACATAGTTTTATCTATTAATTCCTTTTCCTAAAATTATCATGTCATAGTAATCATGTCAGTTCTACTTTTAAACAAGTACCTAAAATTTATTTCAGCTTGAATAAAATGCTTCGCTGAGCGCAGCTGGATACAACCGCAGAGGTCCAACCCTGAACAGTTGGGGCGAAAATGGACACAATATTCGCGCTTGATACAGGTCTGAATTTGGATTGTAATTAAATATTTGACACATAATAGGTTTCTGACACCAAATAACTGTAGTCAAAGAACTTAGAATTGGTTATATGATTTGAATTTATATTCAATTTTTTGCCTTTGTGCAATACACTATGCTGTTGCAAATTGCCCCCCCCCCCCCCCCTCCCCCTCCCACAAAAAAAAAATTTACCCCCCCTTTTTTTTTGCTTTTGTGAAATACACTATTCTGTTGCGTATTGACCCCCCACCCCTTTTTTACCCCCCTCCCTCCCCCCCCCCCCCTTTTTCCAAAAAAAAATTCTTTCCCTAAAGATATGGTCATAATCTCAATTCAAATTTCCAATGGAGTTTGCAACCATAATTACCAATTTAAATACATCATAACAGTCTTAAATAGATAATTTAAAAGCAGTGTAAGGGAGGTAATCTAACATTGTACAACATTGTACAATTTTGTTTTTGGATTACCTCCCTTACACTGCTTTTAAATTGTCCATTAACCAGGAAACCCTTGTTTTTCCCCCTTTTTTGCCCCTAATTCCTAGACGGTTTGAGCCATAACCCCCCAAAGCAAATCCTAACCATCCCTTTGTGGTATGGAAACTTGTGGTATAATTTCAGAGAGATCAATACACTTAAACACAAGTTATTATCTGGAAGTTACAAAAATGCTTATTTTTGGCCCCTTATTCCTTAACTGTTTTTACCATAACCCCCAAAATCAATCCCAACCTTCCTTTTGTGGTATTGAACCTTATGGTAAAATTTCATAGAGATCCATTCACTTAAACTAAAGTTATTGTGCGAAAACCAATGTGTCTTTGGAGGATGACGTCGACACCAACGTCAAACCAATGTATGACAGCAAAATTTTTTTTCGGTCATATAAAAATATCAACTGTTATATGAAGTGCACTGAAAATACATGCTCATATTAGACTCTTTGACTGTATGTTTCATAACTACTTATCAAAAATTACTTTGTTTCATCTTCACATCCCTATGCTCATTAAAATTGCAAAAATGATGAAAACTGTATTTTCATACATAATATATCTACCAAGATGTTCTTATGAACAATACAGACATTGAGCATTAGCATTATTTAATATTGTCACCCATATGAATTCTACATCTAAATTTACACATTTTTCTAATGAATTGTATGATTTGTAGATGTAAATATGTGCATTTTATTAAATAATGCAACCAAATTATTCATGAAAAAAAATGCTGGGTCAAAATGGCTAAATTTCTTTTTGAATATTAATCATTATAATAAAGGTGTCCACTGTCATTTACCCCTTATAATAAACATGTATTATTGGCAATTAACAAATAAATCTCAAGCATCACTGACATAATATCATTCCTATAAAGTTGATTAACCTTAACATAGAGTACAACAAAACTTATGTTTGCCATGACCAGGCTTTCAAACAAAGCTTAACTGGGGAGACAAACAAACAGATGAAAACCATACTTTCAATACAGACAATAAGTATGGGATAAATAATCTTAAGACAAGGAAGTTATTTAACAGCATGAGAATAGTTCTGTACATATTGCTGTTCTGCATCTTGAAAGTTATTATAAGGTCTGTAACATTGAGTTAAACACTTGTATAATTGCCCAATCAAGTATTTTGTACCCTTCTGCAATTTATAACTTTGCTTCATTAAGTTTAAAATTGAGAATTCAATAAATATTAAAGAGAATCCAAATTCTTTGAAATAAAGACATGCCGTAAACAATATATATCATGTTAATACAGGGATTGTCTGATTAGACATCAAAAATGTTTAACATGAAAAGTAGAAAGGTCTTGCAAATTCTACTGATAGGAACAAGGGGAAATCATTCTTGCAAATGGATAATTCAGTCAACAATATCATTACATTGTTTACAAATATGACAAGGCATGGATTTCTTGAAAAAAAATCAACCTAGTGTTATCATAATCTTATATAGACCACCAATTATTATGACAATATGAAAAGGTTTCTTTCAATAAATCCATGCCAAATAATTTCCATGTCAAGGGAAATAACTCTTAGAGAAGCCCATGCCACAGTTATACAACAGTTCATTATTGTGCATGGGCTGCCACACCATGCATCATTACCAAACTGAAATTTTCAACATTTTTCTTATGTCGTTGCATTTCCACTGTGTCTGGAACTTGCATTATAGCTCCTTTGGACCTCTCAAATTCTTCATGATATTTAATCTATAGGCAATTAGTAAAAAGCAATTTTATTAAAACTTCAGTTGCTGTAGTTACAAATCCATGTAGTCACTAGATGTATTCAAAGTAAGAAAACTGATCATATGCATTAAGTTAATTGGTAATAACAAGCTGTTGAAAATTCAATAGTAGAAAACATTATTATTTACAAGTTAGAATATATAGCCTAAATATTATGTTTACTTATCTATGTCAACTAGCAACTACATAGTACACATAACTCATCATTTTGTATGCATTTATAATTACAAATATATACTGCAAATCAATTCATCTAATAACACTCCATCCATAGATGCATGTATTTTGTTTTAAGAGTAAATCACTTAAAAGTATTAACTGGAGACTGACAAAAAAATAAAACAAATCTATTTAGCTATTCTCCTTCAGTTATAAGATTTTGTGGTTTATAAGTTTAACAAAAAAGATTTTTTTACAAGTATAATCATATGAAAAATATGTATAAATAAACTAATAACATTGTATAACAAATATTTTCCAATATATATAGCATACTCCTCTACAAATTAATTTATTGTAAAATGCATTTTCTAAATTTAAATTTCATAAATGTACTTGCAACCCAAAAGAAAGTATTGTTGTTGCTGGCCTATAGGAGACTGGTAAGATTTACCAAGCTAATGTTTTCCTGGTTTTTCAAATGCTGTCTCATCTCAACAGGATCTTCAATTTGTATGTACCTCCCTTTTCCTTCTTCAAAATCCTTATGATATGCTATCTAGCACATAAGAAAATAATCATTTCAGAAAAAATAAGTAAGCAAAATGTAAAAAAAGGAAAATGGTATTCATGTAACTATAAAATGTTCAGATTTTTATATTGAATCTTAAGTGGTATCTCTGAAGTATGATAACTAATTGTCTTTAATATTCATTGAGTGAGAAAATTGCTTTGTTCATGCACATCCATTTGATCCCAAAAAACCAAAACAAAATTCATTGTCAATTTGACCAGTTTAATGTTAATTTCTCTTATTCCACTTCAAACAATGATGCAAATGATGAGCTTCCCTACAACAGAAGTCTACATACACATGGACTGACTGTCTACTTCTAAATTACACAACTAATATATAATGTATCAGATTTCCACTTAGACTAATTATTTCCTAGATATGCAGTAACTATTAAGGTTATGTCTCAGTCTACAAACACATGCAGTATTTCTCCTGAAGACAATACATAATATTACATTTTCAGTTTACAGCACTAGAGATTTTTCTAGTACATATTATTACAATCTCACCATGAACTTATGATATATACAGAAATCAAGCTAATATTATTGCTGCCATGAGGGATTACATTACATACAATAATGGAGAGGATATTAATTTTAAATATTTTCTATTCTCATCTAACAATGCCAATAATTATAATCATGCCTTATATCATGATGTATATTATACTAATCATTCATTTTTAGCATCAGTATTTCAAATCAATATTGTTTTAGCAAATTCAGTGACCATTTTTTTTTAATAGTCTATTTACATTAAATCATACTAATGCTACAAGAAAAGTTAAAGCTATAGCACTACAAAAAGGAAAAATTAAAGAATACTAGTTATATTTATTGTAGAAACACAGAAAAAGGGAATATGACCAAAATCCTTATATCCCAAACTAAAAAAAATACAACCTTTATGAAAACAACAAACTTTTACTTAAGCATTGAGTTGTATGATAGAACATTCCTTTCCCTGTTATTTGACATGTATCCAAACACCTGACTTTTATTTTTTTTATTGATAGTTACATGTTATGAAGCATGTATATTTGTGACAGCTTTATCTTCAGGAAGTTACCCCTCATCTCAAATGTACTACTTTTTTAAGTTTACTGTTTTGGGGTCAAGTATTTCATAGAAAAAATGAGAAACTTTCACAGTAAGATATAATCTTTAACTTTTATATAGACACAATGAAGTGATTCAGACTGAATTTTCATACAATACTCCATGCCTTATCCTGGGAAAACAATTCACCATAGCTTGTGGTTTAATTTTACATGACTAACATGCATTAACTCTATGAGATATTTCATATAAATATCCAATCCACTTATCTCTTCATAAAGATATATTATATGACATCTAAACTAATCATTCCAAAAAATAAGTTGGAATAAAAATCCCTTTTTTCATCTCACAGACTTTATAATCATTCCTTTCGTAACTTGAATTTTTCCCCCTCCTTTGCTGTCATCTTCCACTAAGAATTTTAAAGGAATGTTATTTTATAACCAAAGTTAATCGTCCTTTAACAATGTTAAATACCTAAAAGATGAGGAATAATTAAAGATGAGAAAAAATGGTTTTGATGATTGGAACAGAAAACATTTTTGTATTTCAACATGTAAAATATAAGTTTACAACAGACATATAATAAACAAGAATGTGTCCATAGTACACAGATGCCCCACTCGCACTATCATTTTCTATGTTCAGTGGACCGTGAAATTGGGGTCAAAACTCTAATTTTGCATTTAAATTAGAAAGATCATATCATAGGGAACATGTGTACTAAGTTTCAAGTTGATTGGACTTCAACTTCATCAAAAACTACCTTGACCAAAAACTTTAACCTGAAGCGGGACAGACGGACGGACAGACATATGGATGGATGAACGAACGAACAGACCGAAAAACATAATGCCCCTCTACTATTGTAGGTGGGGCATACAAGTGGAGATGTATATATGTGCTTCTTAGAATACCTTAGGTTTATTCAAACAATTAAACTTGAAGCAATAAAAAATCTATGTTTGCATCTATTTACATATTACTAAATGAATGGGTCAAAGACCCAAATGGCCAGATTACAATAAACTCATTTTTTCTTAGTTAAAATACCATAAACTATAATGGCATGAGTGTTTGATATGATTGATAGAAAAACATTTTTGAAGGCAAGTTTTGAAAGGTGACATATATATACTGATTTCTACAAAAAAAGAACTAATGAAGGAAGCTCTATGCCATTCCATGGCCTCTTAGTCCACAACAGGCACTCAGATTGCACAGGAATCTGGGAACATATTCTTATATACTTCTCCAAACTTAAATGTTAATTCTAATATTCAATTTATTGAGGAAGGTACACAAAAAGTTCTAATACTGTAAATTCAGAAATTATTGCGTGCATTTATTTTTGCGAATTTTCAAAAATGCACAAGAATGCGATTTTAATTATTGCGATTTTAGAAAAATCTACATACAGATCTATGTTTCAGTTATCAAAATGCGAGTTTTTATTATTGCGATACTCACCTAGTCGCATTATTCGCATTAATAAAAACCTCGCAATAATTTCTGAATTTACAGTAATCTAAATGTACATTAATGTACAATGATGAAGCTAGCCATTTTGATATACTGTTGTTTCATTTATTTTCATGGTAACTAAGGTTTGGGAAATGAGAAAAAAATGTGTTTTTATCTTTAATTTCATGGTTTTGCCAAAGTCTGTGATCAAGCCTATAGAAAATTTGTACTTTGTTGACCATTTAAATTTGTGATTCAGTTTACACAGGAAATACACAGAAATTGGTATCCCACAAATAAAACTGAATCCACAGTATGATAAAATAGGAGACAAGATTGTTAATGGATGTTTCTTGTAGATTTGTTAGTCCAAAAATAGGTTACTAGTTAAAATCACAACAATCATGTTAAATCACAACAATCATTAAACACATAATCATTACACACATTGAAAACAATCATAGCTGATTAATTGTAAGTTATACCATCATTCAAAATACACATTTTTATGAAAGTAATGAAACCAAAGAAGCAACTGCAAAATTTGATTAGAGAATATTCAAACACATTCTTGTATCAGTTTTCACATCAACTGCCTAATTCAGTTCATGCCATAATAATGCTTCAATACCATACTAATATTTTCAGTGTTGCGTTGGTGCTGTTTTAAGTCTAGTCGATCAGAGACTTGAGTGTAGGAACCTTTGGCTTTCTCAAAATCACTGTGATATTGTACCTAAATACAGTTAGTATAAAGAGAAGAAAGCAAAACAAAACTGTGTTACTTTAGCATTAAACTAAATACAGCCTTAATCAAATAACAAATCATAGTATAATCAAACTAAAACAAAGGCACAAAAAAAATGTAAAATCAACCAAGAAAAAAGTGTTGTATGTTAGAGGTAGTAAATGAGTCTAGAAAATGTGACTGGGGCTACATAGATTAGTGGATAGAATTTTGTGGACACAGGATATTTCAGTCCATTATAAGCAATAACTGATAAGTTCTACTTTAGTTGGTTCAGATCAACAAAGTAGTTCTTACTGCACTAAATTTTATGGTTAATATCTAAGAAGGAATGGAAGTTCAACTTTTCTATCTAAATTTCAGAATTTCATAAAAAAAAAATAGGTAAACTTCATTTATTCAATGAGCACCTAAAATTAGTATATTTTTGAAATAATAAAACAGGGACAACAAACATGACATATATGTCAAGGCTTACTTTAGTTTTTGAAAGAAACCTAAATGATATGCAGTCTGGATACACAATTGTGAAGACATGATTCACCTATAATGTTAACCTTTTAATTTACACATCCATTTCATCAAGTTTCAAAAGATGTTGGGGACAACAATGGCTTTGTGCTATTTTATTTGAACATTACACACAATTTCAAAATCCAAATTACTAAGGGTTTTTTCATTGTGAGTACCCAAAAATTAATATAATGTCACATCATTGGCTGAATTTCAATTGTTTAGAAGGTTTTTAACCAATCTGACACAACATTTTGGTGAACCCTTTCTAATATTGCCAAGAATGAGTTATATTCTAAAATGGTGAAATGGAAAAGCCCTTTAGTAGAAATTATATTAGACATGTACCCTTGACACATACAAATGTTTAGAACCTGCAATTAAAAAGTATGCATTTGTTTGAAAAAAAAAAAACTAACTGCAAACACATAAAAATTTCAAAGATATTGCACAGAGATAAAAATTATGGATGCCTTAAATTTTCTGTTAAAGAACTGGTTATGTAGGTAGAATATTATCAATATATATATTTAGACTTGTATATATATATATATATATATATATACATATATGAGTGAATGTCTTAATATGGTGTTATAAATGTAATTTTAATATCTAAAGGACTTTATCAAAAATAAAAGAAGAGGAGCCCAAATTTAATCATGATCTGTGTTTGGGGGTAAAAAGCATTGTGTATAAGTTTTATAACATGTGACTGAGGCAAACTAAAGTTAGAGAATGGAAACCAATTTAGAGACCTATGTACAGATGGACAATGGTAAACCTTAATGCCTAGCGGATGAGGCATAAAAATCAAAAATGTATTTTTAAAATGAGATTGATCTCTTATTATAAGACAAGAAACTGATATTCAATTGGTGCACAGATAAATACTGCCTACACAAATAAATGTTTAATATGGACAAACAATAGGGGGTAAAACTAAGTGGTACGATTGTAAAATACAACAGAAAATTGATGTAGTCCAATAAATTCTAAAGCTTTCAAGATTAACATGTATATCTGTCCAAGTATCTAAAGTAGTTGGTACAGCACTTGATTTCTACACTAAAACAAACATAATCTTGATTATCTCTTTCAAAAATTTACTGTCAAAAAGCTGATAGCACTAATGCAAGTTTCTTTACAATTGGGTAAGATATGGACTAACACATTGTTACATGTATGACAGAAGCGTCTATATTGTACAATTTATAAATATCTTGTACTATTCAGGTAAGGGAGACAACTTACATTACTTTGTATTTTGGTATTATCTTTTATTCGTCTGTTCTCTGGTGTATCAGCTACTTGTGTGTGTTTTGTGGTTGGATAATGTCTGAAAATATCAATTTTATAGATAAACATCAATACAATAAAGTTTTCCTTTCAAAATCTTTTCTGTATTATTTTGAGTCTAGTTCAATCTTAATGCTCTGGTAAGATTTTATTTACTGTTGAGACTTGTTTTTACCTTTTAAAACCACTCCATTAACATCTGATAAATTTTCTGTGGTGTCAAATACAATAAAATGCTACGCTGGGCGCAGCTTGATACGAACGCAGAGGTGGAACCCTGAACAGTTGGGGCAAGTATGGACACAACATTCAAGCTTGATACAGCACTGAATTTGGATAGTAATTAAATGTTTGACACAGCATAGGTTTCTGACACAGGATGCATGTGGTCTAAGAACTTAAAAAATTTTAATTTACCTATTCAAACCATATCATTATTATTTGCTTTTATATATAAATCAAAAATAACCAATTTAAAATGGAAAATTTTAAAAGTAAAAAAGGGGAAAAAAAAATCCACCCCCTAAATTTTGTGGTCCCCCTTATGATTCATCAAACCAAACTCAATCCCAGCCTTCCCTTTGTGGTATGGTACCTTGCAGTACAATTTCAGAGAGATCCATACACTTGAACACAAGTTATTGTCTGGAAACTAGAAAAATGCTTGTTTTCTGGCCCCTTTTTGGCCCAAAATTCATAAACATTTAGGGCAATTGTATGGTACCTTGCAGTACAATTTCAGAGAGATCCATACACTTGAAAACAATTTATAGCCTGGAAACTAGAAAAATGCTTATTTTTGGCCCCTTTTTGGCCCCTTATTCCAAAATGTTTTGGGCAATTACCCCCAAACTCAATTCCAGCTTTCCCTTTGTGATATGGAACCTTGTAGAACAATTTCATAAAGATCCATACACTTACATACAAGTTATTGTCATGAAACTAGAAAAATGCTTGTTTTTTGCCCCTTTTTTGGTCCCATATTCCTAAAATTTGGAGGCAATTACCCCCAAAATCAATCCCAGCATTCCCTTTGTGATATGGAACCTTATGGTACAATGTCAGAGAGATCCATACACTAACACACAAGTTATGTCTTGAAGTTACAAAAAAGCTTATTTTTGGCCCTTAATTCCTTAACTGTTGGTACCATAACCCCCAAAATCAATCCCAACCTTCCTTTTGTGGTATTGATCCTTATGGTAAAATTTCATAGAGATCCATTCACTAAAACTAAAGTTAGAGTGCGAAAACCAATGTGTCTTCGGACGACGACAACAACGACGACGCCGGACGTCGATGACGCCCATGTCATACCAATATACGACCGCAAAAAAATTTGCGGTCGTATAAAAACTCTAAATTTTGATAGCACTATTTTTGAATGCAGCAGTTCCTGCAATCATAACATTTAATCTCACATTTTTGTTCATTGTTTAATGTTCACAATCATAAATGCATGCTGACTAACTGAATTTATTTATGTATACATTTTTACATTTTCTAAAAAGACATCTGTAACATCAACAAAGGAGATTGAATATCCAGCAGTCCATTGTGAAAGTTTTGTTGATTTCGAAACAATTAATCTAAGAGGGGTTGCAGATTAGAGATATATATGTACATGTATGAGTCCACCTCTTAAACAAATATAAAACAAGTTTTAGACCTTGAAAACCACCCAAAAAAGATTGAAAAAAATTCAGATAGCTATAAAACACGCTTTCCAAATACGTGTAATAGCCCTTTACTTGTGGAAAAAGAGCCTTCCTTTGCCTTTGCTGGGAGAAGCAAAAAGGCCAACATGTAAAATTTTAAAAGAAGGATCATCGGGTGCAATTAGTTTAAATACAGATTCATTCTTATAATAAGGACTGGTCAAAAGAAATATAGAAACACAATGATCACTATATAACTGTCACCTGTCTTTACTCTTGATATATAATTTGAAGAAAAACTAAACCTAAGCAAGCCTTAATATCCCAAAAATACTTACGCATTGCAGTATGGAAGTTTGTCGTAACCCTTGTAGTTTTTCATATTTAATGTCATGTTGCACGACTGACATTTGAAACATCCTTTGTGCCATATCTGAAAATATAAAATTATATTTCATTAAAAACCTAAACGATAAAAAAAATAAATGGGGAATGTGTCCATGGGACACAGATGATGCCCCCGCTTGCATATAATGTTATAAAGGGATATACACAACTCAAGAACTGTAAAAGTGACATGTACACTACCCAAATGTGTACTTAATCTGAGTTTTGTGGTAATAAACATTGTGTATAAGTTTCATGACATTTGGTTGAGGCAAACTTAAGTTAGAGAACAGAAACGAAAATTCAGCAATTTTTCCATTTGTAAAGGGGCATAACTCTAGAACGGTAAAGGTGACGCCACCAAAATTCAAACTTGATCTGTGTTTTGTGGTAATAAGCATTGTGTATAAGTTTCATAACATTTGGTTGAGGCAATACAAAAGTTCGAGAACGGAAACGAAAAATTCAACAATTTTTCCATTTGTAAAGGGGCATAACTCTAGAACGGTAAGAGTGACGCCACCAAATTCATACTTGATCTGTGTTTTGTAGTAATAAGCATTGTGTATAAGTTTCATAACATTTGGTTGAGGCAATACAAAAGTTCGAGAACGGAAACGAAAAATTCAGCAATTTTTCCATTTGTAAAGGGGCATAACTCTAGAACGGTAAGAGTGACGCCACCAAATTCAAACTTGATCTGTGTTTTGTAGTAATAAGCATTGTGTATAAGTTTCATAACATTTGGTTGAGGCAATACAAAAGTTAGAGAACGGAAACGAAAAATTCAGCAATTTTTCCATTTGTAAAGGGGCTTAACTCTTGAACGGTAAAAATGATGCCACCAAAATTCAAGCTTGATCTGTGTTTTGTGATAATAAGCATTGTGTATTAGTTTCATAACATATAGTTGAGGAAAACTAAAGTTAGAGAACAGAAACCAATTATGGGAGGTACGTACATTCGTACGTACGTATGTACAGACGGACAAGGGTAAAACTTAATGCCCCCTCCGCTACGGCGGGGGAATAATTATTGTTTTTTAAGAAGTAAACAAATTATAACAGTGTTCAAATACAAATGTATTTATTCTAGAAATACAATGTACAAACATGACAAATGAAGTAGAAAAGGTAAATGGAAATAGTCACAAAAAAGTCATTAAAAATTCACAAGCAAAATAGTCACAAGTTTTAGTAATTGCAAAGATTAGGAAACATGTATATATGCATGTTAATCCTTGAAGATATATGGACACATGTTTCCACTGATCTATTTTTAAGTTTTTTTTTTTGTTCTTTTGACCACATGTATTGATTGGTTTGATATTTATATATTTCTATTTTATAAAGGAAAACTTTCTTTTTAAATTTTTTGTTTCTCCCTTCATTCAAAAAAAATAAAATACTGCTACAAAATTTTATACTTCTTGCATATTTGAACATAATTATTTATATTTCTTGAATAAAGCATGTACTGTTTGGAAGTTCAAGTATATTTTACATACATATCAGTATATCTATAAATGTACTCATACTGGAAATAAATATTTAGTTAATTATATTATTTCTAATATAACTCTTTGATAATGCAGTTGGTATAAACCCTGAATATATCTGTTCATCAAATCAGATCAGGTGGTTAATACTTCTATTGATAGAAATAACATTCCAATGCTACTTATCTCACATAGGGGGAACATCTCAATATACAAAAGTGTATAAATGTACTGATAACCATCTTCAAGGTAACATATAGTGTAAGTACAAAAATCTCTCTCATAAAAATATATAATGGTTTATTTCATGTTTTAAACCAAGGGGTATTTAACAAAAGTAACAAACAGCAAGAATGTATAAATGCATAGTACATATGATCTGGCAAATTATATGTGCATTAATAAATTATATTGTGAATTTGTGAATTTGCTATATTTATTTTATCAAATTAAGAACATAAAAAAATGCAACATAAGCTACATTCATTTGGACCTATGGCATAACATTGAACAATTTTGCACACCCACCCTCTTCCTTTTATCAAAGCATCTGTTCCAATGAGCAAAGAATAGGTAATCAGTAAGTTCATAGTACATGTACAACACATTTGGGTGAACATAAATGAAGATTCTCCTTCTCCAGCAAAAGCTACAATTAATGTGTAGTAAGAACATGGGATTAGGGGTAATACGTGAGTCAGCAATCCAGCATAACAAAGCAAAAATATCTAGAGTACCATTTGGTCAACCATGATCATATATTCTACTGGTTCAAGTTAAGTAATAGATGCAGTGAAGTATATCTTTATGCCCTTATCAAAAACATGTTGATGGGTAAAATGACACCCATAAGCAAACATACATGTTATGATCCAGGTTTATCTGGTTAAGGTGTAGATCTACAAGTCTTAATGATCATTTTATCTTATAACATTTATCCACAGGGTCCCTTCATACCAGTATTACAAACATAACCTTAAGGTGTGTGTCACACCTGAGAAAACTTACAGGTGAATTCAGTGTGAGTTTAGGATTTTTTTGTAGCATTTGTAAATAGGTATATAACATAGATAAGCATTTCATTTGTCAACTCCCATGTCAAATGTTTGTGTTTTATGGTGATTTTCAATGTACACCATGTTTACATTAATATGTATATTTTATCTCTTGAGGTTTTCATTCATTCAACAAGAAGAACAGTATTAATAAATCTGGTGAATAATATAAATTCATTAATAATTATCAATCAGAAATCTAATAAAACCTTTTTCTTCAAGGACACCATATATGGACTACCACCAGAGTGCACTGCTATGATGTTTTGTAAGGTTTTGTCAGACCTTCATGTAGGTTCATATGGAAGAAGCTAACCTAATGTTCATGTGCCAATCACAACTTTAAAAAGAAAACAATTGCTAGAACTGGCTGGTTGGTTGATTTGGATTTATACTGGCCAGTACCATAAATGTCTGGTGAAAATATTATGACATACAATCAAGCTTTAAATTAAAAACAATTCAAAAAGAAAACTTTTACAGTTGAAAAAATCATTTCTCTAGATGCCTAGAAATAAATATACATGTATATACTACTTCAAATACAAGTTTTCCTAATAACACTAAGAAACCAATCAAACCAATTATCAATGATATTATGACTTTCTGTCTGATGCTGATATATACATTATATATGTAAATCAGTAATTACATGTAGGTGTACATACGCACAGCACAACATGTAGACACTTAGGAATGACTTAATCATATTCAATGAAAGTTATGTAGGTTTTCACAAGTATGAAATTTAGATACCAAAAACATATTTACATCATGGCCAGTCTGTATTAGAGAATAAGGAAAAAAAATTTAGGAGAGTGGTTTGTATCAAGAAAAGGACTCATTAGGAACCAAAAACAAAATGCATATGAATACATGTAACTGATTAAAAACTAGCGATTTGGAAAATGACCACAAAAATTTGCCTCACTATGGTATGCACAGCAATATTTTAAGGTTAAGGTACATTTTGTAGTATCCTCCCTCCTCTCATCCCATTTAAAAAGAGGAACTGGTATGCACTCTGATTACACCAAACTCAAAACCAAAATTAACCTCTGCAATACATTTATTTCATTCAACCTCATAACATTTTTCATGCTTTTATAAGTCTTAAAAGGTACATAAAGGACAAAATATAATTCTTCATTCACCTTTACGATCTGTCACAGGCAAATACTCACAAAATTAAAATACAGAAATATGAATTAAAATGTGCCCAAAAAAACATTTTAGAATGAACATCACATTTCTCTCAATGAACATGTATATTAAAGAAGAAAATTGAATAGGAATGTGATCTTTAATTAGTTTTCCATTCAAAAGACCTTTACAACTTTACAAAGACAAACATAGATGTTGACCTTTATGACAAATTTTCCCTCTAGTCTTATAGCAATATGACATATAATGTTAATAATCTATCAAGTATTTTTGTGGGATTTTGTACACAGCAAATTTTAAGTAGTTTAGCTTGTATAATAAACAAACATTATGGGAAGCTTATAAAATCATGTATAGTAATACATTACAGCAAACAATAATTTACTTCAACATTTTTATCTACGAAAAAACATATATTATATGCTATAGCTGTGACATTTCCGATCCTTTACCAGGTGATGGGCTGAAGAAACTAAATTTGAAAAGAAATCTAAATTGAGTTCAAATTGTAAAACATACAACTTCTACCTTAGGTATATGAAATAAATATCTATATCTATCATATATCATTCAGTTGCATACTGTCCAGTGCTCTAGAATTTAAATAAATGGGGAATGTGTCCATGGGACACAGATGATGCCCCCACTTGCATATAACGTTATAAAGGGCCATAACTCAAGGACTGTAAAAGTGACACTACCCAAATTTGAACTTGATCTGAGTTTTGTGGTAATAAGCATTGTTTATAAGTTTTATAACATTTAGTTGATGTAAACTTAATTTAGAGAACAGAAACAAAACATTCCGCAAATTTTTCCATTTTTAAAGGGGCATAACTCTAGAACAGTAGAAGTGACGCCACCAAAATCCTATCTTTATCTGTGTTTTGTGGTAATTAGCATTGTGCATAAGTTTCATAACATTTGGTTGAGGCAAACTAAAGTTAGAGAACAGAAACAAATATTTCAGCAATTTTGAGATTTGTAAAGGGGCATAACTCTAGAATGGTAAAAGTGACGCCAACAAAATTCAAACTTGATCTGTGTATTGTGGTAATTAGCATTGTGCATAAGTTTCATAACATTTGGTTGAGGCAAACTTAAGTTAGAGAACAAAAACTTATATTTCAGCAATTCTTCTATTTGTAAAGGGGCATAACTTTAGAACGGTGAAAGTGATGCCATCAAAATTCAAACTTGATCTGTGTTTTGTGGTAATAAACATTGTGGATAAGTTTCATAATGTTTGGTTGAGGCAAACTCCAGTTAGAGAATGGAAACAAAAATTTGTAAAAGGGCATAACTCTAGAACAGTAAAACTTAATGCCT